GTGAAAAGTGACAAGCGATTCAAAGTGAGGTAACAACTTTTTTCTCTTCACTTTTTCTTTTTAATGTAATATATACTAATAAACTCAGTCTTTTTCTTACTGTCTTCTTCCACTCACTTGCACAGTCTGGATGATATGGATATGTGTTCTCTGAGGGCTTTAGAGGCGGACGGAAGTCCTTCCCGCAGTCTGCTCAAACTCATTGGAGATCAAGGATGTATGGTGGGTGAACTGGTGGAGTTTCTACAGATCGTGGGTCATACGGATGCCCTGCAGTGTCTGAAACCTCCAGGTACAGCAGCCTCAGTGTAAACATGGTACAGAAAGCGTGTATGTTTCAACAGTGCATCACATTATCTAATGTTGATTGTTTTGTAAATGCTCTGTTCTAAGTATTAATTCACAAATGTGAAAGCGAAACTGAAACATGACTGTGACACAGGCTTGGAGAAGTGATATTTCTCTTAGGCCCATGCAAAATGTGCACATTTTTTCCTGTACCAACTGTCAAAGAAAATATGAACTCTGTGTAATGGATTTAAAAATGCTAAAATGTATTAATATGAAAATATGTGCGGTTATCAATATTAAAATATTAATGTGCACAGCTCACACAAAAGTCACTTTAAAACCAGCCAGCTTTCTGCTAGTCAGTCTGGCGAGTTTGTGTGACCAATTTGTACTTTTTGCGAAAATCTGCATGTAAATTTTTCACACAAAATTGCTGATTTTTTGCCTGCTAGTAGAACAACAGTAAATATTTCTGCACCTTTACTTGTACTCTTTTTTTTGTAACTGAAAGCATTAGTGTAATACGCAACTTTCAAATGACGTGCATTCAAATTCTGCTGAAACGTCTGGCATAGATTATGTGCAGATATAGTCTTAAGTCTTTGCAGTCATAGGTTTAGTTGCTGTTTTCTGAATTGATCTCACAGGAATTCAAATCCTCGTCCAGCCGCAGTCAGTGGCTGTCATTGCCGGACACAACCTTCGTCTCAGTTGTTATGCTGTTGGTGCTTCACATGTGCAATTCCAGTGGTTTAAGAAAACGGAAGAGGTGTGTAGATGTATAACATTGCAAGCAAGCAACATAAATAACTGTCAGTCATTCACATGAATTACATAACTAAGGCAACCCTTCAGGTACATAACAGCTCCTCCCCAGACCTTGTGTTCAGTCCAGTCCGGCTCAAAGATGCAGGGTTTTACATCTGTCGGGTGAACTGTGGAAACGCATATGAGTTCAGTCACTGGGCCCAAGTAGATGTCCTCGATGTTCCACCAAGATATGGTAAGTCATTTGTGATCAGCAGAGACAAGTAAGAAATTTGGTTGAATTGTCTTGATTGACATGATATGCCACTGATATCAAACTTGATGCTTTTTGATCAGGATTAATGTCTCTGGCTTCAGAGGGCAGGCCAAGGGTGCTGATCCAGCCTCAACCTCAAAGGCTGCTGGTGGGAGATCTGCTCTATCTAGAGTGTGGAGCTATTGGAAGACCCCTACCACAATATCAATGGTACAGAAATGGAGTGCCGATCAAAAAAGCCACTAAGAGGAAGTACACTGTAAGAGAACCAACAGATGACACTCTGCATTTATGGATAAATTCAGTATTGTTCACTCTTGTTTAGATTATATTTAGTTTCTGAGACAGTTTTGATGCAGTAGATTAAAAAAGAAACAACTCAGATGCTAGCAAATTTCACAAATAATTACAAAGAATTGGCAAGTAACTCATTAAATTAAGCATGAAATTTTGAAGTAGAAAGACTGAAATTTTATTTTTCTTGTCAAATATTCTCCAATATCTTTGTATTATTTACAACTTAAAATTCTTACAATGTAGTGAGACTGACAGAATAATGTTTTGGATTAAATTAGGTCATGAATTTGTTGCCAGAGCACCAGGGAAGATATCGCTGCGAGATCTTCTGCAACAATGAACGAACATGGAGCAATGAAGTTAATGTCGTTGTCATTGGTATGCATCGTCTTTTGTTTTATATTTATTCTTTGGCTAGATGTTTTCTGATCAGATCAATTTTGTGAACAGTAATGAACAAAAGGGATATTTCACCCAAAAATAAAAATGCTGTTATCATTTACTCACCCTCAAATTGTTCCAAACCTGTATGAGTTCCTTTCCTCTGCAGAAGAAGATATTTAGAAAAATGTGGGTAACCAAACAGTTCACCATTGACCTTCATAGTTTTTCTTCCATACTATGAAAGTCAATGGGGACCAGCAACTGTTTGGTTACACACATTCTTCAAAAGTATCTTTTTTGTGTTCAACAGAAGACTCATACAGAAACTGCTATAGATTTGGAACAACTTGAGGTTGAGTAAATTAATTTTAATTTTTGGGTGAACTATCCCTTTAAGGCTGGAATACACCACACGATTTGTAAAATTACAACAGATTTTAAAACACTATGCATTTTACACTTACCGACTTTGTAAATGATTACAGAGAAAAACTGGTCACCATACTCTAATCGACTGAGGATCATACACTACCAGACTTTCAAGTCCGAACACAAACTTGCGCAGAAACATGTGCCTCATTGCTAGGAGATGATGACAAATGAAAACAATATCTGTTGTGAAGTTGGCCCAAAATATAATACACGTTTGATATCCTCCGATTGTATGGAATTAAAGTCTAAAGCTTAAAGGGAAAGTTCACCCAAAAATGAAAATTCTGTCATTAATTACTCACCTTCATGTCGTTCCACACCCGTAAGACCTCCGTTCATCTTCAGGAACACAAATTAAGATATTTTTGATGCATTCAGCTCTCTGACCCTCCCATAGACAGCAAGGGTACTACCACAATCAACGTCCAGAAACGTAGCAAGGAGATCAGTAAAATAATCCATGTGATACGTATCAACGTATCCGTGTGGTACGGCTGATGCAGAACAACATACGCTGTTTTCTTTCAGTGAATACTCTCCAAAATGGCACCAGGGTGACACGGAGGAGACGAATTGATGAATAAAGTGTTTTTTTTTCTTTTGCGCACAAAAAGTATTCTCGTAGCTTCATA